CAACTCTGGATCAGCCACCTGTTGATTTTTTGATATCTAGGCGCGTGAGAATTGGTTATCAACTCTTCAGTCAGGATGCTAAAAGCATGGATAACAAATAATGTACTTGTTGAAACTACGGAATTCATGCGGCTCGATTTTGCCGTTGGACCAAAACAAGTTCCAATCCGATTGCGTAGGTCCGGCTTCGGTAAACCCACCATTTGCCAGTGTTGCACGTAAAATTCCGGCGTCCAATCCGGCACTTACTTTGTACGATAATCGCATTTGCATTTCCGTCTGTTTAAGACCATTCACAGCATTGGTAGCTGAGTTGGTAACAGCTCCAGATGCGCTTCCTGTTGAATTCAGCTTGGCCGATTGTTTTGCGGAGAGAGTGAAGGAAACTGGTTCGAAGCGGAGTCGGCCAAACGGGGCTGAGCCGGGACTCCAAGTCACAAGGGGACTCCCCAGCGAGGCAATGTGAGAGTTTGTTGTGCTGGTTGATGAGGTAGTGCAGCTTTCATTGTCCATGTCTGGACGAGGAGTCACCATGGAAACGTCACCATCAAGGTCGTCTTTCCATCGAACGCGTGCGTTGGAAGGTTTTTTGGAACGCGTCAGACGAAGAGATGAGTTTGGGAGTGGAGATGCGGAGTGATTACTGATTCTGGGTTTTGTTTCGTTGCCAGGCTCGAGAGGTTCACTGTCCAAGTCAGTAAGACAAGTCTCATGGATATCTTCATACTCGACGATAACGTCATCAACTTGAAGTAAGTCAGGGTCTTGGCATGGTACATGGAATCGGGTAAAATGGGGTGGTGAGTCGCTTCTGTCAACCGATGCTGGAAAGGCTGGCGAGCTGGGAGCCGCTTTTCTTGCTTGTTCAATGGTTGATGCTGCACCGCTGTCGACCAGGAATCGAATGGACGTTGATCTCATATCCTGGTCACACCACGTGTCGCTGTCGACGACCTCAGTGAGAAACGTGCCCATGGCGAATCTGTGTGTATGTCGCTCGCGATTGGTTTGTCAGATTTATTGATAAAACCAAGCAGAAATACCTCGCTCACTTCTGCGGGCCACGAAAGAAACCCGCCTTTTTTGCGGAGAGCAGCTGAAAAGATGCCATTTTATTTTTCTTCACACGCAGGAACACGTCACTTCCGACTTCAAGTTTTGTTTTTCACGCTCCGAGTTCAAAAATGGAACGGCTGATGAGAATCATCCATCCGATTATGAAGTAAAACAGGCACATTGGATACACAGCCAGAGCTTTCCTGTTTCCCAAGTTAACGTCGTTCAGAAAGCCCATCGACGCTGTTCAAAGAGTTTTGGCGGCCAATAAAAAGTTAAATCACGTGTCATCAGGACAACACGAGTAAATAGCAACTGACCAACAATGGACCATCCGAAAGACGCTGCAACAATTAAAGCACGAGCGATGATGCTGGATACCAAAAGACACACGATCGATGCGAGAACCAATGGAAAGATGCAATATCCAAGCACGCATATCGTTTGGAAAATGGATCTGCCCCGTGGAGAAGATTGAGTTTGAGTTTGATTTTTGTCCTCATGAACAACTTCCGCCCAGACCAACTCGAGTAAAAGCGCATTCATGCGAGAGTACTTACAATTTCCCACCAAGAAGTTTTGTGTTCAGAGTGACTATCGCCGCCCCACCCCAAATGATGACAAAAATGCTGGTGAATACAGTTGCTACTTGAGATTCCGGAGCAGTAAGACTCAGGCGACTTGTAATGCAAGACTACGTTAAGACATCGATGCAGAAGTCTGATGTGGGGGCAGAGAGAATGAGACTCACAGCGAAAGGCCCAAGCACAGCAGCAACGGCCCCCAAAGATCCCCTGAGTTACAGAAACCACATTTAACTTAATTATCTGCTGGTCAGGTTGGCATATTTACAATCGCGCAGAATGTTTTTCGAATCCTTCCGCGGTACGAGCACCATTTTCAATTTATCTGAGATGCTTTTGAGGTCGCGCATCTGAATGACGACGAGAAGTTTAAGCGGCAGATTGAGGGAACTCAAAGCACAACAGGCTGTAAAATAACAAGTTCGTTACAATTGTGTCCATGACGGGCTCATCAAGAGTGTCGGCAAGCGGCTTCGCATTGATGTCGGGCATGCCATTCCCTGATGCTGATGAGTTTGTTGGCACCAACGGCTGCCCGATGGATCCGCTGAGAGACATGAAAGAATATTTCTTTGAAAGGTGTTTATTTTATTTACTTTACCAGTGTCATAACCACACATGTCCGTCGAGAGACTCCTGTCTCTACTCGAATCCGAGATGGAGGCCGTACAGAAACGGATTAACGATTCAGAAGAAGTGGATGAATCGTTCGCTCTTAAAACGGCCCTCTCAGCAGCTCGCATCAATGCAACACTCGCCGGCATCGACAAAGACACGGTTGAAGGGAACAGCAGCTTGGTTCTTCGCATACGCAAACTCGCTGACTTTGCATCAGATTGGAACATGGCTGCGTGCAAAGCGACTGATGCCTTGCTCTCACCATCAACGCAACCAACCTTTGCAACAACTCCCAACTCCTTCAATTCATCTATGTTTAAATCTGCGCCGTGGGTGAAGCTGAGAGAGACTTCGAATCGTATTCCACCTGTCCACCAGGACTCTTCGTCCACCACGCGAAATGATCGCGATGAATTGCTGCGGAAAAGGTAATTCCCCTCTTGCAGCACATGCAATCCTTTCTAGTTCGCATTCATTAAACGCGGTGGGCAGGAATGTTTATTCAAATGCATCAAAGGACGATGAGCGACCCACAGATTCGGATGATTCTCGCGTTCTGAAAGAACAGGTCAAAGCGCAGGAAGCTTTGTCGGAAGATTTGATCAAGCTAGCGCAGCGTCTGAAAGAAAACTCACTCTTGTTTGGGGATACTCTAAAGGCGGATAAGGAAGTGAGTGGTATCAGTTTCCATTCAGAAACTCACTGCTCAACTGCAAAACACAAACCAGGTTCTCGATGACACGCACGATGCTCTTAACGCAAACGTGACAAAAATATCATCTCAGAATTCAAAGCTTACGACTTTGCTGCAGCAGACCCGGGGAAACTGTTTCATGATCACGGGAGCCGTCCTTTTAGTTTGCGTTCTCTTCATTTTCACCTTTTTTTGGATGCGACTGTTTCGTGTGGTCAAAACATGATGGGCAAGTATTTGTTGCCGTGTAGATATCGTGTTCGGACCGCCTCTTCAAAAAAGCGCAGGGTTCGACTCTTTGGTTGCAAAAACGCGGAAGAGAGTTGCCCAATATAAAGTGACGCTTATTCCCCTGGAAACACCGGCAAAGTTGCGCGAAAGGAATCGCATTTTATTTCGCCTCAGTCGTCTTGAACTCTGAAAAGACCAACTTTCACCACTTCTTCGCCATACGCGTGCTTCATCTGAACAGTACCAGTTTTATGAAATGAGGTAGGTGCACTGGTTGTCAGTCCAACGCAAGTTTCTTGTAAAAGGTGCCTGAGGTCTCACCAGTTCGATGTAATCCCTTGTATTTCCAATGAGTTCACCGCTTTCACGCCATATCAGCTGATCGAGTTCATCAACCTTTTTGATTTTTCTGTCTCTCGCACGGCGAAGCGCCCACTCATTCTCTTCGTAGACGCTTTTCTTATAGCTATCCCATTCTTCCGGAGGTATCGTGTTTATTTCGATCGTGTAGTCTGCCAGGTTTGCTGCAAGGTGGTACGCAAGTGCTGGAATGACGGATACGCAGAGGCGTGAGAGACCATGGGAGGACCAGGCGCCACTGTGTTAAAAAACCGTACCTTCTGCCTACCAAGCAAGGTGATCAGAAAGAAAGAAAACTTAAACTGATGGAAGCGTCACCTTCTCAAAGGTCTTGTCTTGTTCGCAGCCAGCCAAAATGATCGAACTCATTGTCTTCGAGGCCCTTCAAATTTTTAAAACTCTGAACAATATCTGCTTGCTTCTGCTCCCGTTCATGAATATGGAGTTGCATTACGTCAGCGAACTGGAGTGATGCTTGAGAAGTCACAAAATCCAAGAGGCGCGATACCAGAAATACTTCCCCTTTAGTTTCTATTGGGCTTTGGGGCGGTGTTTCCATTTGGGTTTGTGAAACACCGCCAGTCAATAAAGTGGCAGCACATCACTTGCTTCAAATTCCCAAAAAAGATACGAAAATGAGCCAACCCCTCCCTGCTGGATGGATCATGCAGACTGATCCCAACACCCGCGCTGCCTTCTACGTAAACACCGCCACCGGACAATCCCAGTGGACCGCACCAACCATGCAATATGCTGCACCCCCGGGCAACCCACCAGGCCAATATGCCCCCCCTCCTCAACAGTACCAGCCACCCCCCCAACAATATCAACAGCCCCCACAACAATACCAGCAACCCCCGCAACAATACCAGCAACCCCCGCAACAGTATCAGCAGCCGCAGTACCAGCAGCCTCCCCAGCAGTACGGTAACCCTCAAGTTCCTGCATACCTTGCTCAGAATCAAGCCCAGCAACCGCCGCAGCAGTACCAGCAGCAGCCACAGCAGCAACAGCAACAGCCGCAGAAGGCAGGTATGAACCCACTTCTTCTTGCCGGAGGCGCCGCCGCTGCTGCCGCCGTGGTTGGAGGAATCCTTTACGAGAAGAAGAACGAGCACTTTGACGGTGGTGTTTTGGACTTTCTCGACCACGGTCCAGCCGCGCTCTTGAGAAAGAAGGACTGATTGTTCATTTTTTTGTGGTGGTTGCTTTGTCTATCCATGTGTCCTCTGAGTGCGTTGAGGTCCAGAGAACGGTGGGTCATGGACAGCGAAAATAAAAGCCAGTCATGACTCTCATCTCCTAATCTGAGCAGGCAGCACTTTGTGCAACGAAGAAAAAACAACCTCACATTTAAAATGAATCCTTTCGCGATTGCGCAGAGAAACACGCATGAAGAGAAATATGCATGAAGAGCATAGCTTTTGAGAAAAATTAAAGTACTAATACGAAAAAACCGATCCCGGCGGGGTTTGAACCCGCGATCTTTGCCTTCGGAGGGCAACGCATTACCACTTTGCCACGAGACCGATGCATGACACAACTCCGATTTGGATTATAATGCTCTTTTACAGTTGCACTTAAGCCTTCAGAATCTAGTCAACCCAGTTGGTCGTCTGAAGACGTTATATCTTGATGCTTCCGTTGTTAGGGTTTATGAACAGAAGTTATTTGACTCTGCTGAAAAGCTGACAATGCCCTTCAACATTTGCCGCAGAAAATAATGGAACTGCCACCCGAGATCGTCGGCAGCATCATTGAGTGGATCGTGCCCGCGCATCCTGACATTGATTACGGGTTCATGCTTTCGGTATCACTGCTGTGCCGGGGTGCGTAGCCTGATATCATTTGAGCAGGGAAAGTTTATTAACCCTTTCAAGTCCAGATGTCCATGCCGTGACTTGGGGCAGTGCCGGGTTCATCACGCGTGTCATTGAGCGGGCTCTGTCTTATTCCAATGGAGGCAGTGAGCACGAGAGCGGCCTCGAAGTGCTGAGTGTTCCGTCCCTGCGAATCTTCAGATCTGAGCGCGGTGCTGCAGTGCTCAGACTGCTCCACACTGGGTACAAAGAACGGGGATACAACAACCCGGTGTCCGCACTGTTTATGCGACAGTGTGTGCGCGAGTGTGACTGCGATGACTCGATCGAGTCTCCAGACTCCATGCATGTTGCCCTTGTTTTGTCAGTTGCAGCTTGGTTCGATACATCGGACTTTGACACAGTGTCGCCATTCACGAATAATGTTTTGCTTGACGCGGCCCGGACTGGCTGTTTCGAAGTGTTTGATGCTCTGTTTCCAAGTAACGAACACCCATTCGCAACAACAATGCGCCGACATCCGATGTTTGTCAGAGACAGCTCAAGTGTGCATCCCTTGTATCCCGTGCTTTTAAAACTCGTTTCTTGCCGCTGCGACACACGTTTTATTCTTCGCCTGCTGTCATTCGCGGAGTCAGCGTCCTGGAACCTGACCCCGAACTTCTCATCCATGCTGTCGGCAGCCCTTCTTATCAGTTGCGAAAACGGCCATCTGGAGGTGTCTGAAATTCTCCTAAATTTGGTCGGGCCGCACCTTCAGAGAGATACACTTCGGCGTTGTGTGAAATCGCAGAATGTGGCTCTGGTGCGACTTCTAGTGACATGGTGTGCTTCGCGGAATCCATACGCGGAAATGGATAATCTTTCGAATGAACTCGATCCAACAGTTCCACTCGTGGAGGACCTTTCTCGATTTCCTTGTGGAGTGTCTCGAGCGGTTTGGCAGCAATGCGTCGAAATTTCTGCCCGTGATGGGATGATAGGCATTGTACGCCTGCTCTTAGAATCGTCTCCTTTAGAAGAATCCCTTTCAAGCTTGATTCTTCCATCCTCCCTTCATCTTGCTGTGTTGGGATCTCACACGAACGTGGTTCATTACCTTGTTACCGATCATCATCTCGTCCCGACCAGAGCTGCGTTTGCTTCAAGCATCAATCAAAACTCACCACAGTTATTGGAAATTCTTCTTAGCGGCGGTTTCAATGCACCACCTGGATCAGTTTCATTTGCTATTGACAGCCGAAGCCTGGGTTGCTTGCGAGTACTTCTTGAATGCCCGCGATGCATGGTTACTGCGACCGATGTGTTGTTTGCTGCGAAATCAAGTCTCCCAGAAAACGATCGCGCAGCATCTGGCTTCTCTTTTACAATGGGAGGTGTTGGAGCTGAATTACTGGGAATGATACTGAAAGCATGCCCGGTTGCGGTCGCCACAGAAGCGCTCAACATGGCTATTCACGAGGGGACCACTGCAGCATTTGAGACCTTACTAGATGCAGGGGCTCAAGCAAACGAAGCTACTTTTACAACTGCCGTCTTTCTCAGCAACAAAAGCGTGCTTGTGAAACTGATTGCTTACCACCAGTTTCAAAAAAGACAAACCACGTCAATCCACAACTCTTCAGACGCATTATGTACTGCATCCGCAATCTATGAAAAACATCTCTCTTATTTCCAAACTGCATTGACATCCGCCGTCGATATGGATAACGTGTCGATTCTATCTATCATCCTTGCTACGACGGCCGCTGCTCCTCGTACAAGTGACTACTTTCTGGCAGTCCGAAAGCCCAATCCTCAAACGGCATGGATGCTGATTGCGACGTTTCCTCGTTTGGCTGAGGCTCCGCTGAACATTGCTATCCGGCAGGAAGACCTGATGGTGGTTAACTCGCTGATAAAATGTGGCGCGACCCCGAATCTAACTGGTGTAACGGCAGCAATTGAATCCAACAATTTGGGTCTGCTTCGAACTGTTCTGAAAGGTTATACAAGTGGCACGAGCGCGTATGATTTAATGAGGGACGATGAAGGGATTGTTTTGGGAAGCGCCATCTGTACTGGATTCAACGACATTGTCGAGGCTGTTGTTGAGACTGGCTACTTTGTTCCAACAGCAGCTCATGTGTATTTATCAGCAAAGCGAGGGATGGTGGCAAGTGTTCGTATGCTCTTGGCGGTCTTAAATTCAGACGAAACCTCAACGAGTAATACTGGCCAAAATCCTCTCGATTTGGCCGTTCGGGAGGGCAGTCTCGTTGCAGCTGCGGTACTCATTAATTGTGGCATTGTCCCTGGGCCATACGCAATTGCTGCAGCAGTGGACAGTGGGAATGTGCAGATGCTTCTTACTCTGGCTCTTAAGGAACCGTCATCGAACAGATCAATACATAGCGTCGAAACAGCAGATGAGCGTGTGCCGCCGGCTGTTGTTGCGCTGGCAATTGAGAAAGGATCCGCATTAATTTTGAAGGCATTGCTGCAGAGTTTCAAGGTTCCAGTTTCGAATGTGTTGGTGTTGATGGGGATTCGAAAAGGGTCTGCGGTGATGGTGGAGGTCCTGTTGCAGCACTACTCTGGCGAGGGCATCACGAGCGACTTGTTCGACGCGGCGTTGGAGAGCAGCGACCTTCACATTGCCGAGCTGCTGGTCGCGTTCAGCCTTCAGAAAAGCAGAATCGAATAAAAATTCGGGAACTTGTTTGCAATGAGTCACTCTTGAGAGATAAGAAAACATTTCTCGTTTTATCTTCGACAACAACCAACCAACCAACGCATGCGTCCCGGCCAAGTCCTCGCGCGAGTCTCCGAGACCCTTTACAAGGCCAAGACGTACGGTGCTGTCGCATCCACGGCAAGGCTGACCCTTGCTGAGAAGATCCTCTACGGCCACTTGAGCGGCAACCAGGACGATCTTTCGAGCAAGATTACTCGCGGCGAGACGTATCTGAAACTAAGGCCTGACCGCGTGGCCATGCAAGATGCGAGTGCACAGATGGCTATTCTGCAGTTCATGCTGTGCGGGAGAAAGACGACTGCCGGTTTGGCCTGGATTTGCATGTCATCTTTGGTCCTTATTCGGCTTCTTGTTTGAACAGTTCCGTCCAGTATCCACTGCGACCACCTTATTCAAGCGCACAACGGGGCTGACACCGATCTCGATGTGTCCAAAATTAAAGAGAAGGAGATCTTTTCGTTCCTTGAGTCTGCTGCGAAAAAGTACGGCATTGCGTTTTGGGGCCCCGGTTCGGGAATCATTCATCAGGTACTTCATTGAAGCCCGAGTATTTCACTGTTGCCACTCCTCCGCAGACACCGAACTGAATGCGTTGCTGTTTATCTAAAACTTTCAGATTGTCCTCGAAAACTATGCTGCTCCAGGAACCTTGATGCTAGGAACTGACTCGCACACGCCGAATGCGGGTGGCCTGGGAATGCTTGCGATTGGTGTTGGAGGTACGCGTGTGCTTGTTTTCCCTCATTCGATGGTCTCTGTGTTGACGATGATCATAAATTGCAACAGGTGCTGACGCGGTTGACGGAATGGCCAATATTCCATGGGAGCTAAAGGCTCCCAAAATTATGGGAGTTCGATTGACAGGCAAACTTAGCGATTGGGCAACACCAAAAGACGTGATTCTGGCTCTGGCTGGAAAGCTAACAGTTCGTGGCGGGACCAATTACATTATTGAATACTTTGGTCCTGGAACTGAAACCCTTGGTTGCACTGGCATGGCAACCATTTGCAATATGGGCGCCGAGGTATTTACTTGGAATCTTGTGTTCAACAAAAGTAATTAACTCGCCGGGCCAGGTTGGGGCAACGACGTCGGTCTTTCCGTACTCATCCGCAATGTCGAGTTACTTGCGCGCAACTGGTCGCAGTGAAACTGCAGAAGCATCAGACAAATACTTTGCAGAAGGGTTGCTGAAAGCTGATTCGGGTGTCGAATATGACAAAGTAATTGAAATTGACTTGGCCACTGTTGAGCCGCACATCAATGGACCATTCACGCCAGGTGAGACGCTCAGATCTGGTCAAACGAGTCTTACTTCAGTTTTATCAAACAGACGCGGCAACTCCCATTTCGCAATTCAAGGATTTGGTTAAAAAGAATGGCTGGAATGATTCTGTTGCAGCCGGACTGATTGGGTCTTGCACAAATTCGTCTTATGAGGACATGTTAGTTTCTTTGCTCCTTGTGTGAATGATTCCTCACCAATAGGACATGTAAAAAATTACAGGAGCCGTGTTGCCTCCATTGCGCGCCAAGCGACGGCCAATGGGATCAAAGTTGCGTCTGAATTTCTCGTTACGCCAGGTTCAGAACAAGTGCGCGCGACTATTGAACGTGATGAAATCACGAAAGATTTAGAGACAATTGGCGGGAAAGTGTTGGCGAATGCTTGCGGCCCATGTAAACTTGTCATCTTTGGACTTGCACTGCAGTACTTTTTTGGAAACTGACAATCTTTGTTCTTAAGGCATTGGTCAGTGGAACCGTACTGATCCTATCAAGAATGAGTCCAACTCGATTCTCACCTCGTTCAACCGGAACTTTAAGGCTCGTAATGACGGTTCCAACAAAACAATGAACTTTCTGGCGTCTCCTGAGGTTGGTAGTCAATGCGTTGTCTGATAAGGTGCTGAACTGTTTTCCAGATTGTTACGTCGCTCGCCCTTGCTGGACGATTAAGTTTCAATCCGT